CAAAGGCGGTGAAATGCATTCAGTTGTTGACAAAATTTTATTTTAAAAATGCTGTGAAAATTCCACATTCATTGTTCAACGAATTCGTGAATGGATTACGATCAAATTTGGTATACTATTGAGTTATATTATGGTTCATAGACTCAATTAGTTTTATATCTATATTTTACTTCGCTTAAGCCAAATTATATTAAAATTATCTTCAAATGTGAAAAATGTTAGATAAATTTAATCGAAGAGGCTAAATTTAATAAACTGAGTTGATGTGGAAACGTCAACCAGAGGATTGAAATTCTTTATATTAGGTATATGAGGTATATACCAATCACTATATATTTGCTATGTTGAGAGTAAAGAGGACTGTACTTGAGCACATATTTTCAAGCAAATTTTAACAATATATTTATAACTCACACACTGAACGACATATTCGTCATAGGGCTTGTTAGAAAAACGTAAATCATTAAATGTATTATATTGAAGTGGAGCTAATTCGTATATATGGTATAAGGCCAACCGAAATTTTGAAAATTGTATACTAGTTATATGAGGTCTAAGGGACGTATTGAGCCGATTTTATCTATTTTTGGCAATACCACATACTGTTAACAAGTTACATACTAATAATATGCTTCTTGAGTTTCATTAAGGTACATTTACCATCCCCAATATATATGGAGTAAAGTTAGCCGGATGTTCGAAAATTACGTGATATTAATTATATGGACAAGTTTTCACCCGATTTTATCCATTTTAGGCACAAAGATACATTAATATTATTATATAACGGTTAAGAGGAGCCTCCTTCCGATTGAACCTATTTTTGCCATACTACAAGTACAGGCATTCTATTATCATATTGACTGATATTTTCGTTGAAATATTCCCTAGAGGAACTAGGGTCACATATTCAGTATCTGGGGGCTTGAACAGTTGAAACCCTATTTTGACAATTTTTGGTCGTAAGATAATCTGTATTTAGTGCTTAGTTATGGCCTTTTACAAGTGTTCGTTTAAAGTACGTGGCAGTGGTTCGATTACACCCAACTCGTCTCGTCATCCTGATCATTTATATATGTCTAACCCTATATCTATCTCAATAAGTTTTAGGTGATACAAACAACCGTTAGGTAAACAAAATTATTTTGCTCTGCAGCAAGACGTTGCAAGAGTATAGAAATATGAGAAAGAAACGAGTAAGGGAGGGCTAAGTCCGAATGTAACCGAACATTTTATATTATGGCATTGTAAAGTGATAAATGGGATTCTTGAACATATATTTTAATTAAAAGTAGGTAGTATTGCAGACATCACAACATTAAACCGATTTTACCCATTTTTGATACAAGGGCATGTAGTCATCACAAATTGACCCATATGTTAGGAAAAAAATCAGCCATACGCAATGGCTCCCTATATTTGTTGTTTGGGTACTTGAAAAGTTATAGCACAAATTCAAAACTTGTTGGGCATAAGATTAAGCCTTTAATCACTACTTGTGCAAAGTGTTATCCCGATGTATTCATTGGTGTTTGATTTGAATACTGGAAGAGAAAGAATCAGATGAAATTTAAATTTGTGTTATATGGGTTGTAGGGTGGTTTTTTGTCCGTTTTCGCTTATTTTCGCAGTGTATGATAAGAATAGTTGGGTAACCTTAATTCGTTGAAATTGCGCGGGTAGTCCTTGAGTTATAGGATTTTACTTAACGGTGGGCGGTGCCACGCGCGTTGTCCAATTTTTGCACCTGCTTCTATAAAGCTGTTTTGTATCATCTTGGTTATGCAGTTTAATGCTTGTGGCGCTTTTATTCAGCTCTTTTAGTCGTTTTTTTACATAACGGTTATATGGGGAGTGGGCGGCATTATCATCCGATTTCGCCTATTTTTACCTATTAAAAATACTTTCTCCCAGCAAGTCTGGTTGAGTTAGCCTCAGGTGAAAAAACTTTTATACTCTGTGCAACATATTGCGAGAGTATAAAAACTATATTCTAGTTATATTATTAATTTATACGCTTTACTGCAGATGTTAGCTTTTTGTGCCGCAGCATTTGTGAAATTCCAACAACAATTGTATGCACATCTGTCATTGTGCTATACAAGCTAGCATCAGCGCTTTAATTGAAATATTTTAATTCCACAATTATCATCGGGTTTTTCGCCATTCACGCCCTTTTCCTTTCAGCAGTGAAACTGATGCATTCCATTGACACACTTATGCGTTGCTTGTTTGTGGGCGTGAAGAGCAATGCCAGCTTTTTATGTATGAGCGTATGTATATAAGCACATGCGTTTATATAATACGAGTATATATCACGAATACATTATGTATATATGTATGTGCAGAGAAATTAATTAAAAACTTAACCAAGAATTCCAATTAAATATAACATTGGAAATGGTTGACGCTTTTACGCGTTAACTTTTGTTTGCGGTCTGACCACAATTTTTATACCATAAACAACAACTTTTCACCTTGACTTACTTCCTTTGTTTATGAGTTGTATTTTATTTGAAAATCCTTTTCTACTCCGTGGCATTATGCGATATCCAGCACCAACAAATAGTATCTAGCTCATTTTTACCGACTGTCTACCGATGTCTATTTCACTGACTGATACATACACAATAAAGAGAAACAGTGGGTATATGACGCTAGGAAAAGGTCTTAAGCAATATGAGGTGTGTTCAAATAAAATAGGTGAATTTTGGTTTTTTGCGGGCTATGTACATTCGATTACCGATATTTTGTTTTTGTTATAATCAGACACATATGTTAATCAAGTGCTTGCATTAGCAACCTATTTCGATTAGTAGTTTGCTTTTAACAACAGAAAAGATTGCTCTCGTTTTTGTACACTCTTCGATTTTTGAATTTTGAAAGAAATGGGTCAAAGAATAGGTATTACATTTTGCCTTAAAAACGGACAAAAGTGCTCCAAGGCACTTGAAATATTGATTGTGGATTCGGTGAGTTGTTGAATTTAAAAATTTTCCAGAAATATTTTTGATTATGGCAATTTAAGTAGTTTTGAGCGTAACAATTTTATAGTGGTTTGTCTATTTATTTCCCATTTTCATCAAGAAGGCGAGTTTTTAAAATAAAATCAGATCCTCGTTTATTGCTCGTTTGTACGACCAACCTGCATAGAGTAAGAAATACGTGTACTCAGTTTTATACATATATCTTACTTTAGTGATCGCTTGCAGAGGTAAACGGACAGAAAGATACCGAGAACTAATTCACTTCATAGTTTTGGTCGTGTACAGATGCACATACACCTATTTTTGTTATAACACTCTCTCGCAACCTGTTGCTACAGAGTATAATAGTTTTGTTCACCTAACGGTTATTTGTACCACCTAAAACTAATCGAGTTAGATATAGGGTTATACTTGTATATACTTGTATAATAAATGATGAAGACCCGATTTGAAATCCGGTTGACTGTCTGTCTGCCTGTGCAAGCTGTAACCTGAGTAAAAATTGAGATATCTTTATGAAACTTGGTGAACATGTCTCCGGGTAACGTAAGACGGACCACTGCCACGCCCACAAAACGCCATTAATCAAAAACAAATAAATTGCCATAACTACGCTACACAATAGGTATAGCCCCTAGGTACTGAATATGTGGACCCCAGTGCCAATAGTTGACTTTTTACCGAAAGTATCGGTCAATGTGTAAGATATATAAATGAAATGCATATAATAAAATAGAGAAGTGAAACTCTCGATAGTAATATGTCTTTGTGTCAAAAATGGGTTGAATCGGATCAATGCTTCCTTAAATATAAAATTTGCCAACACCTGAAGTAATTTCCCGGGCTTTGATCCTTGCAAGTTGCGAGAGTATAAAATGTTCGGTTACCCCCGAACTAAGAGCTTCCTTACTTGTTTTACATGGGTTTGATTTAACACGTGTTGAGTATAAAATATAGTTTTAATTTTGTACACGACTTTATGCCAGTTAGCGAGCTAAAAAATTTATTTTTCTAAAATTGCTTTCTGTGGATACAAGCTAATTTGAAATATGTTAATATTTTGTGAACTAGCAATGCAATCAGACGTGCTTGGCAAAGACATTTTTATAGGAAAATTTTTTTTCCAGCGTTGCATTCCAAAAAATATTTTGTATTTATTTAGTTGTTATTAGCAGTTCTACATAATTGGTTTTAGTTCTTGAACTTGTCATATAAGTCATTTGCATTCCTTTGAAGCTTAGAGTGCATATCTTATTTTCTTCAATAACTATCCTTGTGTAAATACTTATTATAAATGTATGTGATTTGATCAAATAAACATAAATACTTTTTCTTAAGGTGGTAGTCTAATAATTTTTTTCGAAAGTACTATACATATATTAAGAAAACTCTGTAAAAATTTTAGAACGCAAATCGAAATATTGACAAAGTTAAAGCACGTATACGTGAGTGTCCTGTAGTAGTACGCGCTGTTATTACATAACATATTTAATCTGCTGTTAAAAATTTAAGCGCCTTTTTCTAAAAATAACGTTCTTACAGTCGTCTTGGAGGATATAAAATTTTCTATCTAACCGATTGGACTGAAATTTGAATATGTTATTCTAATTATCAATAGCTCTCTCGCGAGATGCTTACTTCAGTACTACGAAACAACAAATTTCAAAAAAAATAGACAAAAATAGTTTTTTGGATACTTTGAGATACTATTATTAATATATTACAAAATGCAACTAATTGAATTACATTTTTTCTAAATATAAAAATATTTCCAAAAAAACATTAAATAAAATCCTAGTTTTTCACAAATTTTCATAGGTTTTAAAGCTAAGTTTTTTCTGGAACCAATTTACCGTGTAAAACAGAATACGGTGTATATTAGGGTGTTCGTTATTTTTTTGCAAATGCTCTCAGTTTCAGCCCTAAAATAAATTATCCAACGTTAACAAGCGCTTTATTTTCATTTTAAACTGTGCCTAGAGTTTTTGTTTTTTTTGTGTATATAACATTGGAATTTTAATCAATTGCAGTACATTTTTCTTTATTCAAAGCAAACAAAGCCACAAATTTGAAGAAATAATATTCTAAAACAAAATTTTTCGTTCTACAAAAAAAAATTCTAACTTAATTTCATTTCATCATTCTTATTTAAGTGCTATACGCAGTTAAAGTTATACATTAAATGTACTAATTCATACATCATGTAGTATGACAAACACAGGATTTATAAGGCACTTCTAAATTACTAAGTGGAGAAGAGGAGATAAAATGTGACGAAGAAAAAGCAAGAACATTGAACAGAAACACACAAGGCATGCCTATAGGAATTCGGAAGTGGTTGCCAATGTTGATAAAAGTTTAGTTAAGATATGAAGAAGCTACCGAGGGTGAGCTTTACTGCTGGTGCACTAAAAGCGAATACCCCTGACTGCTAGCAAAACTGTTGTGTCCTTCATTATATATTGGCATTAGTTCCGAAATTCCACCCGTTTGTGTATAGCTGCATCTATTTCCAGTTTTCGTACAATTATTTAATTTAGTTTTTCATACTAAAGGTTAGATTAAGTTTTACTGGCCGGCTGTCGCTCCATACGGTGGTTTCACAATGGGTCTCCCAAAGGCGTAGGTGCATCGTCCAGCCATCCACCCTACTTATCTACATATGTTATACATTATACATGTAATTACAGAATGCAACTCTACATCAAGATAAATATAACATATATAAAACATGTATTTGTTACTGATAGACTATGTGGAAAACAAGTGATGTACACATAATTGCGAGGTGAACCGCAGCCATAGCGCTAACAAGCGACAGAAAGCAAAACAGAGGAGGCCATAACGAACGAGCTGCGTAGCGTTAACGATTGTAATGTGAACTATGTTAGCATATGTAGTTACTACCTCGAAAACCGTTCGGGTACTTTAACCTGTAATCATGTAAAGATATATATGTATATATATATATATATAAAGATTCATAGCTACATAAATATATAAATATGTATAGTACTTATGCAATATAATGTTATTCTGGGTCTAGCTGTACATTATTTATATCATTTATATAATATATTGAAGTATGTGTGATCATATATGAGCATTGCGCTAATATGTTCCCATATTTAGTTACATACACATCCGTGTAAGTTTTTGTGCATACATTTAGATTTGGTTGGCTTCATTATACTATTGTGGCACTTTAAATGTGGGATTATGTTTTCCGTTTTTGTTTCGTATATACCGAAATTTAATTGGGTACATTGGAAGCCGAGCATTCAGCCAGAAGAATATACTAATAAGGCAAATTAAAGTGCAAATTTCACGGCATCGCCATCCACGAAACACTCCGCAAATATTCTAGTAAGGAAAATTTTGATAATTGTAGCGCGAATTATTGCGGAAACTGTAAAGCATTTCGATTAATCAATAATGATTTTATGCTAATATATAACTATACATACTGCTCTACTAAAATAGTACTATGAGCTTTGCAATTTAAAACGATGTTTTTATTGATTTATAACATTCAAAAGAAAAAGCAAATGTGCCTTACACTAGTAATTTTTGTTCAGAGCACTGAAACATCTATTTCGACTTCGCTTGAATTTTACATCTTTAATTTTGTTTCTCTTCTTTACCCCTAAATATTTCGGTGCTTTCTTGTCACTTGATATTAAGTTATCTCCACCATTTATTTGCATTTTAAGTAGACTACACTACAACGGGCACAAAAATTAAGCACCAGGTACCCAAATGAATATATATGCTTTAGCGGCTATCATTTGTGTACTTTTGCATATACTTTGCTATAACTTAATAAATGTTCTTTATAGCCACAATCTTGGTCGTACTCTTTTTCAAGCACTATGTATAAATATAATGAGATAAACATCTAGGCAAAATATTCTTCTCTTAACCAAGTATTGGCTGCAGGCTCGTTATTTCGTAAGTGGGTAACCATAAATACCAATAAATGTCTCAAACTGTAAAGGCAAATACACAAAATATAAGAAGTATTTGCAAACTTGTTACCTTACAAAGTACGTTGCAACTGAAGCTGGCACAGAAGCATTAAATTTACAGTTGCAGTCAACCAGCTTATATAGTATTCAGCAATGAAAATGAATGGAAAAGCTACTGTAGGCAATCAATTCGGATAAAGAATAAATGAGGATTTGTGCGCAACATTTGCAAAGGTAACAGATAATATGTGAATGCGTCTGGTATACACAGATGCCTCATTGTAGGTTTTTAAGTTATGAACTGTAATGTAATAAAATCACTCATACGCCTAGTGTTACGCTTAACGCGCTTATTCAGTATTCTCGCTAAATGATCCTCACATGGTCTACACAGTATATTATGAAATACTAGAACAAATGATATCAAGTAAGGAAGGGCTAAGTTCAGATGTAACCAAACATTTTATACTCTCGCAAAGTCAAATGGTTTACTCGTTTAAGATTTCTTTGTGGATTGACCGATATTTTCGTTAGAAGGCCAACTATAGGCACTGGGGTCCACATACTCAGTAACACAATTTAGTTGAAATCGGTTTACCTGATCCCAGGATATGCGTTTTCACCTAAAAGTGAGCGGTGCCACGCCCACTGGCTAATTTTGAATGCGGTTCCTATAAAGCCATCTCATACCATCCTAGAGATAAAACTTATTGTCTCTGCGGTTTAGGAGATAATAACTTCACTCATCTCGTTTTCCGATGCTTTTTTATACTCTCGCAATAGCCCATTTTCGCACTCGAAGAATAGTTTTGTTCGAATATATCGGTCAATGTGTAAGATTTATAAATGAAATCCTCGATATTAGTATGTCTTTGTGTCAGAAAAGTGTTGAATCGGATCAACACTTCTTTTAATATAAAATTTTGCTAACACCTGAAGTAATTTTCCGGACTTTGATCTTTGCAAGTTGCGAGAGTATAAAATGTTCGGTTACACCTGAACTTAGCACTTCCTTACCTGTTCTGGTATGCAAGCCTGATTCATTTAATACATTGGACACCACTACCAGCCACCACTTTTTTGGGATATTTATTTATCAGCTTTTTGACTTTCTTTTACTTATTTCAATAAGTACGGGTTAAACTCTAAAACTTGACAAATTCGAAAATGCCGCAAAACTTCTGTAGCACGGAAAATAAACAACAGTTACTCATGGTGGCTTTGACTCGTGACTCTTTTGAAGAAAGAACTAAAATAGTTACGCTACAGAGTAAAACGGCTGTCAAAGTAAGCTGCCGTTTGTGCGTGACTGCTTATTCATGCAGCACACGTGTCGGCGGAACAATTTGCAATTGCGGTGGAATTGAAGATTGGCTCACATGTGGCAAATAAAAGAAAAAATAAAGTTATTCTCGTACATACTTACTATCTAAAAATATATTTACGTACATATGAATGAATGTGTGTGGGTGCTCAACTAGTTTTCAGTTTGCACCTTTAAGTATATATACTCGTATTTAAATAGACTGTAGAAGAGTCAAGTCTTTTAATAATTTTAAGACTAAAAGACATTGGAATTAAACCATTTTATAAAATCTGTATAGTCAGGATACACAGCAACTAAACCGACTTTTTAAGAGTATAATTAAGTATAAATATTTCACAGCTCAAATAGAAAATTTTGATTTTTTCAAGAGTCCAGATTACGAGTTTCTTCATGAAAGTATTGAATGTGCTCTTGTTTTTATGATTATTACATACCATTTAACTTGATCAGTTATTGGCTTGATAGTAATAAAATTTAATTTTCAAGCTATGTTTAGGGTTCACATCTTTTTCGCCAATACAAGCTCCATGTGAGGTTTAAAAAAATCAAAACTAAGAGATATCTAGACAGTCTACTTGTAGACTTAGAAAGTCATTGGGATGCCCTCAGTAACAATGAGCTCGCTAAAGTCTTAGAAATCAGTACAGTCTACTGTACTGCAGTGCATGGAAGGGTGAAACAAATATACCAAAAATATTTTTTCAAAATCACTTAAATGTTTAAAAGAGTAATCAAGTTAGGATTGAGAGAACGTTTTTACGAAGCGGTAGACGTGGAACAATATTGTTGCAGTTGCACTTTGAGAGAAATTTCGGAAGCTTTGTGAGGAAAAAAAAAGAAATGTATAATATTTGATTATCATCAAATACGGCAATTAACGAAAGATACTGATCTTATCAAGGATATAACTGTTCCGGAATGGAAAGTTGGAAAACAAAATAAAGTGAGGAACAGAGAAAGCGGTTTCTCAAGGATCCAAAAGTTATTGAAGAAAGTCTCTTTAAAAAGAGATTGTCAACTAAAATAAAAATAAATACTCATAAACGAAGAATATTTTTATACTCTTGCAATATGTTGTTACAGAGTATAATAGTTTTGTTCACCTACCGGTTGTATTACCTAAAACTAATCGAGATAGATATAAGTTTATGAATATAAATGATTTGTATGACGAGACGAGTTGAAATCCGGATGTCTCTATGTCCGTCCGTCGATCTGTCTGGGCAAGCTGTAACTTGAGTAATAAATAAGATATCTTGATAAAGTTTAATACACATTTTCATTGGCAAAAAAGTAAGAACGATCTCTTAGATGGGCGTAATCGAACCACCGCCTCGCTTAAAAAACGCCATTAAGCGAAAACTTACAAATTATAATAACTAAGCCGTAAACTAAGCTACTAAACTGTAATTTGGTACAACTACAAGTATCACAATTACGAGGGGTGCTTTTAAAAATTTTAAATTTTAAAGTAGGTGTCGTATTGGGTTAGATCTTGGTCCAAAATTCATTACCCTAACAAACTGAATCCCGATCCTCTGGTTGACATTTTGCAATATAAACATATACAATGTATAATATTAAATTAATTTAGCCTCTTTGGTTGAGTTTATGTCAGATATATCTCATTTGAAAATTATTTTAATACAATTTTTGTTGACGGGAAGTAAAATATACTTATAAATACTATATTGAGGACTGCAAAGCTACTGTAAGCCAGTGTTATAGTTAGACACTGGTAGTTTAATTGGAAGATATTGGATCATTGCCACTGAGATTAGGGCGAGTGTCAAAGCGTGGCTGTTCTGAAATAAACAAGGCACATATTTTGGTCGGAAAATAGATATGGCTCATTCGTGCCTTACCCAATATAAGGCACTTAAATAAACATTTATGTTTAAATAGGATTATGTATTCCTGTCACAATCGTTTAAGGGTGTGTGGAAAAGTGTCTAAGGGGAAATAAAAAGTACTTTTTTCCTTTGAAAAATTATATTATTATGATGTTAATACGGAAAAAATTTATTCGAAAACAACAGCCGGGATATTACATCATGGGTTTATCATGGATTTTTTGTTTTGTATACTTTTTTCTGAAACGCAAAAAACTCTCTTGTATGATTTTTATTTTTACCCTTTCCTTGACACGAAACTCAATACTTAATAACTTAAATATGAATAGCGATCCGTTATCTTTAAATATATTTTGATAAAAATAAATTAATATAACAGCAAAATATTGCCGTCTAAATCAATGAATATAGTGGAACCAGAGAACTTAAAACAATGAGAAGGTGCAAATTGAATTTTGTATGATGCTCGATTGGTTGGCTGAAAATTTGAGATCAAGGAGTTCACCACTTTCTGTACAGTTTTGCTGTTATTTAACAGAAATGAGAATGTTAACAACGTTCTCTGACAAAATACGTATCTACCAATATAAAGAGAAAAATGAAATGAAATGAATGAGAAAACAAGAAATACAAATGCCACCTCACATATGCATGATAAGTTTTTGCCATATAAACGATTTTTATGATGAAAAATTGATAAAATATGATTTTTTTGCACAAATGCTACATTAATAAAATGTGAAAGATTATGCAAGAAATGATATTTTACTATTTTCATAATTTTCTAATTTCAGTTGTTACAGAATTAATAATTTATGTATGTACATCAATATGTTATATTATATAATATACTTGTAATAATATATTATCATTTATCAATGAAAACATGAGAGCGCATTGCTCTATATGTAAGTATGTATGTACAAATATGCGTACGATCGCGCAAAATAAGTAATACATACACAAATCTACATACATTTAAGCGTACAAA